TGAGCGAGTCTGGGTAAAGTCATCTGAGTTGGGACAGGAATCGTAAACTGATGCCACAGTACTTTGGACCTTGGGGTTCTTGGTATAGTGGAAGATCAGCCAGATGGTTCTGCATATGTCATTTGCATCCATGGTCACCTCTGCACAGACCCTGTTTTTCATGCATCCAAGTTCGCACCTTTCGCTGAAACAAAACAGTTTCCCTCTAGGCGATCCATGCTGCCCCCAACCATGGACGAACACGAAGACATTGACGACATTGTTGAGCACAAGCTGATGTCTGTGCCCAAGCCTCCAAGCAGGGGACACCCTCCGAAACCGCAGATGCAGTATCGAGTGCGGTTCAGACATCTTACTGATCTTAAGGAAGACTGGTGGTTCACAAGAGAAGAACTAGTGAAGACTGCTCCCCATTATGAAGCAGCCTCCTCAGTAAGGACTTCTCAAAGGACTATCGAAGTAGAGGAGGAGGGAGTGCGAGGATTGTACCCCTCGAGTACCGGCATAAGATCCTGCAGCAGGCACGTGCCCACCCTAAGTGACGGCTGCCCCCCTGAACCTCAATGAGCCCTGAACTCGTCAATCTTTGCAAATCTTGGTGGGCGCCAGACAGTTGCCACACGCCAGTTGGCTACATCCGCCTTGCTCATGAGAATCAAAAATATGCGTGAGCCTTCCAGGCTCTTCCAGCAAAGTGGTCGAAACAGGGAGCACCGCACGTTTGTGCCTGGGTGGCTGGGCATGCCAACCAATTTGGTCAGAGGCCCCTGTCTGAACGGGCCTGGGTGCAGACATTTAGTGGAAACTCGGCCCGAAGGGGCAAGCAAGTGGCAATACGCCCGCCACTTTCCATATAGGAAAGGGCCGGGCTCCGGGTGCTACATTTGGGCACTTGGTAGAACGGGCGACAGTGCTGCTGGAGCAAGCGCTCGCGTGCTGCTGCTAGCGCCTGTGCAGAAGCGTGCAGGCATGCGGTAATGCGTGGGAGAAGGGCACTGTTGAAGGCAGCGCCATAGCCCAACCCATGTATCTTGTGCTTAGACAGCCAGCGAGAGGTGGTGGTGGACTTCGTGTATGAGGGGGAAGACGTGGGTGAAGACAAGATGAGGGAGAGAGAGAGAGAGAGAGAGAGAGAGAGAGAGAGAGAGAGAGAGAGAGAGAGAGAGAGATGAGGATGATCATGTGAGGGCACGTACCTGGTCATGGCATGGTCTACAAAGTCGACATCTTCACGTACTTCAGTTGTTGCTGCTGACGTCAACAGGTTGCATTGTCAATTCGTAGGCTGGTAGTAGCCGTGTGATCGTAGTCTGGGCACTGAGCGCCAAGTAGGAGGAAGGGCTCCAGATACATATGTTGATGGTGGCGAGAGTATGCTCTCACTGACATTCGGATTCGGTGCTTTGGTCCTCCGTCGGTGGAATATCAGTGCATTTGTGCTTTCTGGACAGCGTTGGACTCTATGGCTTTCAATGTGATTTTGCATTCTGGCTTTCCGTCATCTCACTATCGTTCATTTTCCTTGCACCTGCTTCTCCCTCAGGTCTTCTTTTTCTTCTTTCCAAACCTTCTCCCTCTTGTTCTTCTTAAAACTCCCTTTTCATCTCTTCCTCCTTTATTCTCATCTCCTCCTCCATTCGCTTCCTTTCATCATCTAGCTTATTTTTCAATTCATCCTCCTTTTTTCTTTTCTTCTCTTCCTTCTCCTTCTTTTTCTCTGCCAGCTTCTTGTCAATGTCAGCCTGCTTTTCTGCGGTATACGGCTGTGTGGTCCTACCGAATGTCATGGTCGTACTCATTCTACATGTTCGGTGGAACCCGAGAGGAAAGAGAAAGCAGAGGAGTGGACCCCATATCACAGAGGGTCAAGAAAACGAACATTGGGTAGTCATCCATGGTTACGGGAAGCACAGGTATGTGGACTCCACCTCCTCACCACGTAGACTTAGTCCACAAGACCTACTTTGTTTTTAAGGTCTGACCTGACTTATCTCCCTTCCCACAGTGGCACTAAAACTCCCCTATCAGCTGGTTGGCAACCAGCAGTTTAGGTCAGCCAGCATAGACCTCAGGAATTCTTTAACGATGCAGACAGGGACGACGACCCCACCAGACTAAAAAGGTTCATTCTCAAGACTTAAGACTTCTCAATGTGTCAGCACCGGTTCAGTCGCCTGCCGGTCAGTACCAGCCTTAGGGCTAGACAAGTTTTGTGAGCTCTATCCTAGAATCGACCTACAATCATGCACATAGACTGAACATATGCTCCCTACTATCGGGTGAGACATCCAGCTGCCGAGCCTCTATCCTAGACTCGACCTACAATCATTCACATAGACTGAACATATGCTGACTCGACAGATCTTGCAGATTGTATCACTACAGATTGACTTGCACCAGCGTCTCCAAGATATATGGGAAGGTACTCAACCATGCAACAGCCAACAAGACCTCAGGAATTCTTTAACGATGCAGACAGGGACGACGACCCCACCAGACTAAAAAGGTTCATTCTCAAGACTTAAGACTTCTCAATGTGTCGGCACCGGTTCAGTCGCCTGCCGGTCAGTACCGGCCTTAGGGCTAGACAAGTTTTGTGCTCGCTTGCCGCTCATGCCCATGCTCCCTACTATTGGGTGATACATCCAGCTGCCGAGCCTCTATCCTAGACTCAACCTAGAATCATTCATATAGACTTAAACATCTGCTGACTCGACAGATCTTGCAGATTGTATCACGACAGATTGCAGCAGCGTCTCCAAGATATGTGGGAAGGTACTCAAGCATGCAACACCCAACAAGCACAAACAAGGCTTAGGGGGGGGAGGCCCTTCACTCGTGAACGCTACCTTGATGATGCTCCACAAAGTCGCTCCTTAAATGCAGGTGGGTACTCTCACCATTCCCAACAGCCGGCCACTTCTTCTTCGGCCATCAAGCTCCAGAACAACCCCAACTCAGATCTCGTGGGCCTTATGCATGCCAGCGTCTAAGTTCAGCGGATGCAGCTGGATCCTGCTCTGATACCAATTGTAATGAACCACTTATCTTGTCACTCCACACGTGCAACATGAGAGTTCACACAAAATACACACCAAAGTCCACATATGGAGAGTCCAGATTGGCACAGCTTATAACTTTCAATGAATGATCACATTACACAGAGCCAGAGTTCATGTCACCTGCTCATCAGTGCAACATCATATTACACAGATTCTGGCCATGAGTCACCAAGCGCTCATCAGCGCAGCACACAGCAACCTCAATCGGGTATGCAACTCTCTCCCTCTCTTGGCTCATGTCGCACAACCTTGATGCCTCACTGTCCCTCTCTCTCCCTCTTCCTCTTGAACTCCCTCATAGTCTCTTCTACTATGAGGATATCATCCCTGGAGACATCCGCCTCCTACTCATACTCTTCTACTACCACTACTACTATGCGGCTATGTCCGCCTGTCTTCCACAGCACAGCCCTGCCAGCAGGGCTCTCTAGCGCTCAGCCACTCGCAATAGCGCACAAGCATCACAGCGCTTCAGCCTTCTCACTAATGAGCAATCTGTTTGAACGAGGATGGGCCGATCCACTTATTCACTTGGCCTCCACTTGACTTTGCCTCCGCTTGACTGGGCCTGGGCCTGCTTCGACTTCGGCACCAGTTGGCCCACGGCCTGTTTGCTTTGGGATATTGGGGCCCGGTACCTTCCAGACTTTTCCTGGATCGATGCTGCATTTTTGGACTGTGGGATGTGACTGGACATCGGGTACCGGTTGAGTTTGACCATTGCGGCCTCTCTTTGGACTTGGGGACCTTGATCATGAGATTTGAATTTGGGGTCTGCGATGTGACAATGACTTTCATCTCCATCAGATTTGACGAAACGTTGTTTTTAATTCGTTTGGGGGTGTTCTGACGTGGTTGTGGTTCTGGAAAATTTGTGCTGTTGACAGAGTTGGAGAAAACGGTTTAATTAGAATTAATTTGAATTCAATTCTACTTTGGTGTCGGGATCTTCCGTTGTGTATTCTCATCATCCGGTCTGGTGTGGATTGCTCTCTCCAAGTCTACTTGTCATTGTGCGTGTGTATGGGAACGTGTGGATGTGATGCTGGATTTCGTTTCAATCAGGCACATAACATCTGCATGCCTACAAATGAAAGGGGGGACATGATCTATGCACGTCGAGGACAATCAAAACCACAGGGGACAGTCTCGTCCACCATTGAGTCCTCCATGGACCGGGGTTAACATCTGTAGCATAGCAGGATTGCGAACTTGTGAACTTCATTTTTTGAGGTTTTTTATTACCTCGAGGCGTACCATTTCCACTACCACCTTTTCGGTACTTTCTTGCGACAACTTCTTATCACTTTCGCACACTAAGTCCAGGAATCCGTTTATTTGCCAATGTGATGTGATGACTGCTCCGTATAGGCGCACTTGCATGAACTGGGGATAGATAGTCCACTACTCATATAGTCAGGTAATGCATTGGTGTCGACTCCCCCTCTCCTCTCGCCCCGCCCCCCCTTCCTGGCAGATAGAATAAATCTGTGTGAGACTATTCGAACACACACATCCATGTAATACCGCAGTTGGGGCGGTGTGCATAGGATAAGACCAATTGGTGCTAGATTCTTGCTAGGAAAGAACTAACTTGGCCATTATCACAGCCGCGTTCATTGTTGCCAAGCATGAACATAGCACCAGTTGGGCCTAGCCATAAGGTTCAACACCTGGCCATAAGCTTCAACCAAACAGTCTCATCATCATCCATTTACTTGGGATGTAGGTATTGTGTAAAAAGGACACCTCATACATACGACCATTCGAAAAACATACGATCATATATCCCATTCATTCACATCTCCTTTATCCTTCTTGGAAAACATAAGCAATAGCCTCACATGGACAAAAGCGAAGATCAAGAAAACAAACTCCTCAACATAAGCAATAGCCTCACATGGACAAGAGCAAAGATCAAGAAAACAAACTCCTCACCTCGTTCATCATAGCAGCACGATAAATCCTCCGATGAAACAATGATGCCGGCACTTTCCACAATCGTTTGTGCCATGGACAGGTCTGCCTCCACTGCTACTCGCAATGCATCCCATATCTCTGTGCAATCACATGCCAGAGTCAACCATTCATGCATGACAATGCATTCTTCTCTCTCTCTCTCTCTCTCTCTCTCTCTCTCTCTCTCTCTCTCAGTTTTAGATTTTCACCACAACAGCCCCTTATCCACCCAGATGAGTAAATCCAAAATCAAAGCAACTTTACCTCTCTTGCAGACAATGAAGCACCTGCGATGAGCCAATCCAACAATGAAACAGTTTTACCTCCATAGCAAGGAACATGGAGCAGAATAGAACCATTATATCCATTTATTAAGTATCTTTACTTTACTTTTCTTTGGGGTGCCCCTTTTATTAGTTCTTCCAGCTCCTCTTTTACTATGCCTCTAGGTTGGCCACATTCATTGTGGTCGAGCGCCGGCTGTCCACATCCCCGCGTGCCTACACGGCACACTTGCACGTTATGATAGGAGGCAGAGTAAAGGGGAGGTATACTCAGGAGTTCAGCTTATATTTTTCTGTTCTCTTAGTGATGCTCATTTGTATGCTTTTATTAGTAGTACACAAGGAGGACAAGGAAGGAGAGAGACTCTAGGCAGACTCACAGTTCTGGGTGGAAGACGTATCACCGTAGAAGTACATGTTTAATCCATCATACAGGAGACGCCCTTGGATTATCCGGGCCAAATACACCGAATGACTAAGAAAAGTATGCCATAATGATGCATGCTCACTTCCAGGTGAGCGATGCAGATGAACCGAAGGAACACCAGGGTGATGATAAGGACTCAGACATACAGCACATCATCAAGACCTGACACACATAGGACCCAGACTCACACGCATCATCACACATGTCAAACAGGAGGGACGGGAGCATCCACAGAAGAAAGGTCCCTCCTTGCACACACGCATTGGGAAGAAGACTACGCATGAAGGACAGAGAGGAGAGACGAAGGAAGGAGACGAGAGAGAAGCTCGAAGTAGTCCAAAAATAGTCTCCCCTGCAAGTGTCCATCAATGTCTGTCCTCCTCAAGGCCCGACAATAGTCCCTCTGTTACGATCCTGGCCAATTTTGAAATACATGTTCATGAGAAAGCACAATGCCGTCCAATAACAAAAAGAAATGAATGAACTCGAGAGGTGAGAGAGGGACAGACGAAGAAAAAGAAGGAAGAAAGAACCAGCAGACGATGTACACCAGCAAAGACCAATGATAATTCCGTTCTTCTCGCCAATCACTCTCCTCCTCATTTTCTCCTCCCCTCTTATTCAAACAATAAGTAATAATAATCATGTCAATTGGCTGAACCAGAATCAATGTCCGAATCCCTCTTCTACTGCAGGTACAACATGAGGTCCACCATAGCGATGGCCACTCTTCTCCTTCCTCCTCGAAGTCCGAGGCTATGGCGGATTACCAGGGCCTTGCCCTGCTGTGCAAAGGACAACACAAAGCAGCTGGGGCTTCTCTAGCTCAGGCA